ATGGAAGGAGGGGAGGGTAATAAAAAGATCAAGGGTACTGCATCGTTGAATTAAATTAGAATAAGAATACATATGAACTCTATCATGCTCTAAGAGTTTATTCGCTTGACTCCTCCAGAATCTCGTCATCGTCGTCCACTACAAAGCTCCCAAGGGAATAGGTGTCCAGTTCATCTCCTCTTGAAGGAGAGGAAGAAAAGTTACCATGTGTTAAACTGTTGCCTTTACCTCGTCCAAGGTAACCGTTGCGAATAGGAGCTGATGTGAACTGTGGTCCCCCAGCAGGTGCTTGGGTGAATAGACCTTGTCGGTAGACAGCACTTTGATCATAATCAGTATCTATTTGAGTTGCCGAGGTATCAACTACGAATTCGCGATCGGAACTGTTTTCGACTCCCTCCGAATCAGAGGAACCGGCCTCAACCTCATCTCCAGAGTGAATGGCTTCCATTTCTAGCAGTATGTTTCTATCGAGTATTGACGGTTTTTGAACCTTAGATTTGTGTATCTGCTTTGGGTGACGAGGTCGTGGCGAAACGACCTCACCCTGAGAAGATTTCGGAAGCGGCGGAGGTGGCATGAGTGCCTTATCCGTAACACCGTCCTTTCGCTTCAGTCTGCGTGCTGGTTGTGATTTCAAGTCATGACTGACACTGAAATCGTCCACGTTAGCAAGCTGGCGACGACGCCGGACAGGTGGGACTATAAATGAGGAGTCTGGCGATGAAGTTGCTCGATGTGCAGGCTCGTCATCTTGTGACTTAACTTTCTCAATGTGAGATGGAGTAACGCGATCTTCTTCTAACACCACATCTGATTCATCTTCCTCGGTGTCCGTGAGTTCGATTACCGCGTCTTCTTTGTTATTAGCCTGGGCGTTCAGCGGGGAATCCGAATCAGAGTCGAAGAGCCATGACATAGTATTTTTCGTAACAGGTCGTCTTTCTGCTGCTTTCGATCTTGACCCTGATGGGTTGCTACTCTTGCCGGACTTTTGAGGGGCAGTAACCTTGAAAATAGTTCGAGAGTTGGGAGGTTGTCCACCTTCTTCATGACTATCATGCTGCGCATTTGATAACATGCTTCGTGCTGACGAGAATCCTGCTGATCCAGAGGGCTGGGCCTTAACAAGGCTCCTTGATTTTGTCAGCGTTTTCTTGATAGGTGGTATCTCTCCGTCTGATTCCGAATCCACAAATTTCTTGGCCTTTTTCTTCACAGGCGAGCCAGCTTCTGGGTCATCTTCTACAACTCGGGAACGTTTCATGAGTGCATCCTTGATGTTCGTGCTACCAGATCTTCCAGCATTTTGTTTGGATGAACCCCTTCTCCGTTCCTCTCTTTCATAGGGGATAATCTCCATAATCATCTCGATGCATTTCGGTTGGACACTCTCAGGTAAAAGTCGTTCGACATCCCCAAAGAGTTCGAGATCTGTGCCTCTAACAATAGTTTGCTGTACCACTTTGTATGTATCTTGTGCTTTGGCCCAATTGTTCTCTTCTCGATCTTTGGTAACAAGGGCTTCCACTCTGCCATCTTTCTTGCGGCCTGTTCGTCCGATGCGTTGTATCTAGATCGCCATCAATAAGGTGTTGAGGGCTGTTTCATTAATCATACCAAGCGAATGGCTGCTGAGGAGACATCATAGCAAACGATAACATCCACTTCTCCAATATCGAGACCTTCCTCTCCAATTGACGTCGATACGAGGACATTATACTCTCCTTCCTTGAATCGTTTAATAATCTGCGATTTGTTTAGCAATAGGGCACGGGGGATAAAATTTTATACAAACCTCTACTTGCTCCTTTTGAGAAACCCCTTTCCCTCTGGCGTTTGTACTTTGTCCTATGAACCGATGGGCCCGTATCATGGGCCTTTGTTCGTTCAAGATCTCCACAATCTCTTCTATGCAATCACGAAAGGTGCAAAAGACGATCATTTTTGTGGAAGAAACGCCCAAGCTCGATGTGCTCTTGCCTTCTTCCTCTAACTCAGCTCGAGCAAAATGTTGGATTGCAATCGTACGTAATTTATCCATTTTGGGGTGAGCAGGGAATCGATTCCGAAGAAGATCTCTTTGTCGTTCCATCTCTCGGATAGTGGCAATGTAATTTGGATCGTTACTAATCTTAGAGTCTCCTTTACTTGAGGTAAATTTCTTCGCTTGCTGTTTACCGCCTTCGGTTACTTCTTTTAAGGCACGATATCCCATCGTAATACTGTATTCCAACTAAGAAGGGCATTAGCTAGTTTATGACAAGCTTGTGAAGACATACAAAGTATGTTAATGCACGGGCCAATTTACTCATTGTTGATAGAGAACCGTATGCCCATTTCTGTGCAGGTTCCAGGGAACGCATCTTGGAAGTGCAAGCGAAATCTTTGATTTTATGAGGTGCTATGGGCCACAAAATTCCGGCATTGACCAGTGGTCTCATGTGAGTCTAGAGACGATAATTGAATGATCCATAACCCATGTAATACTAAACTACTTACTTCTATCAACTTGAGAAAGGGGTCTGATATTTTCTTTAACTCTCCTTCCATCTCGACGACATGGTGACTTGTGACCTGACGCGAATTAACATTATGAATGGTTATAGGAATGACCCCTTACCTTTTTGCGCATATATGGCTGTACATCCATACTACCCTCATTTCTGATCTCGATATGACTGATATGTAGCGAGTCGACAATCGCCTGAACAGCCTCAGGTTTACTCGCGGGAGTGGCTGTCAACGCAAGGATCCTGAAGAACGGGTTTACTGCCATCATAAACCGCACGATTTGTGCATATGCATAGTCGCCGGTTCCTTTATGTGCCTCATCTATGACGAGGAGGGCGATTGATGTCGGGTCACATGTCGACGTTGCTAGATCATTGACCAAGGTTTGAGGTGTCATATAGAACACCCTTTTATTTCTCCACTATACAAACATTAATTTAGGCCATATTTAGGTGATCACGAACTTACGTGGACTGCTCGCATTTCTCGGGGTATTTGTCCTGTCAGTTCTATTGCATCTGTTCCAGGAATTCCACATGAATGATGACAAGCTTCGATTTGTTGAGCTACAAGGGGCTTGGTTGGCGCGACAAATATTATTTTCCCTTCTGGAAACCAACGGTAGTCTATGGGTCGTTAGTGGAGTACCAAGAGGACGGTATTTACACACAGTTGAGCATAACACAACCAGCAATGAAGGTTTTGCCAACACCGGTGGGAATGGCCACGAGACAGTTTTCGAAAAGACTACGCTGGACGATATTGTACTGATAATCTCGCTTTGGATTATTGAGAGGAAATATCCATTCTTTCATAGCCAATTTATCCGGTTGGAGCTTCATGTTTGCGATCTAGTTATATATATTGGTGAAAATCGTCCCTCGTCCTGAATTAAATAACGTACAGGCCTAGAGAAGTTAGTAGGTGTGAGGGAAATGCACGAACCACTCACTCGACTAAGGTATATGAAGTTAAGATTGAGTGAACGACCGAAAACAAGATGTAGACAACGTACGAGGCATGAAAGGCTCTGGTAGGCCCTCCAGATCAACATATTCCTCTTCACCCATTTCTTCATCTACTGCTTTCCCCTTTCCTTTACGTCCTTTAGGTGGTTTGGTACTTCTCCAGCCTGTCTTTGCAAAGGCCGTCTTGTCCCACACCTTAGTCTTCCTAAGCTTTTGCCCAAAGGCTGGTCTGTGCTGTGTTTGCTGGGACTGAGGCTGATTATCCAGAACTTCTCCGAATAAGTTGGTTTGTCGAGAGGTAGCCATGTTATGAGCCGGTGCAATCCATTTGGATGATCCTATTTGTTTTATGCGTTTGGAAGCTGCTTCTTCCAGCCGTTTCATGTCTTCTACATTCATGGAAACTTCTTCAAACTCGAGCTCTGATTCCGTATCTGACAATATTAGGGCCTTTGGCGCGTCTTTTGTGCTTTCTGTTCTGTTCGTTGCAGACTGTTGGCGTTCATTATGTGTCGCCTCGAGCGCGTTTACTTCAGCCAACACCTCATCATCGAGAGAATCGAAATATTCGTCATACTCGCTCATGGGTTCGCAGGGGTGTCGCTCGCCAGAATCAGGAGGTAGTGGCGGGTGTTCAAGAATGGAGCGCCGCTTCAAATCGTGTGACGCGACCAACCATTGAAATGGCTAGACTTCTAATGACTAGATTAGCATCGGGTGACATTTGGACGAATTTATGAGATAGTTTACTAGACTAGCTATCTTCTAACTGGGCTACCCGTCGAGTATTCCCTGCTCATAGCGTG